TTGTGGTGCGCGCTTCGACTTTCAAATGCTCAAATCTGTGCAGCTTGGCGTAGCAGCGCTAGACGTCTATCCAAACGAACCTCACATCGACGAGCGTCTTCGCGATCATCCCAAGTGAGTCCAACTCTCGATCAGCCCGCGGAAGGAGCATTTGTTTTTTTTTGGACACCTAGCCAGTCTGCAAGCTGATCGCTAGACGATCCTTCTACGCCTCCCTGATTGCCGCGCCAATGTCTCCCATCTTTTCATTCTAACAGCGTCATCCTTCTGCCCCACGTCGGCACGCAATCCCTCGACACGGAGCATAAGATGGAATTGCAGACTTTCCGAAGCATCAGATCTAGCATCGATCGTCTCTTGGCCAATGCAGACGATGCGGGTAAACCGGACTTTTTGGTAAAGGAGCAGCAACACCTCTAGATTCACGATTTTCAATTTGCCCCAACTTGCTCCAACTTGCGCCTCCCGCGCTATCTTCCAGCATGCCTGTTCGTTACTGCTTATCTTTATTCGCCTGCTGGAACACTTGCAATTTCAATGTTCACTCACACCTCTAGCCCATGCCAAGGACGGACTAGGGAAGCCTTCGCATTGCCAGCGGAAGTGAGCCAGGGGTCTTGACAATTGTGCAGTCAGAAGGGGTAGTCCAGTACATTTCAAAAGAAGGTGAAGAGCGAAGGCTTGCCTTGAAGCGAGGATTGTCGAGCGCGGTCATGCGGTACGACCGATCCTGTATGTCTGGAAGACGAAGCTGAGCAAAAAGTCTCTCCATCTTGCGGGCATGAGCCAGAGGAGGAAGGCCACTGTGGTCCGTGCACTATGTTCCGGGACAGGAGCGCGTGAATTGAGAAGAGGTGCATGCAAAAGTTCCACTTGCAATCCCACACCACCACTCACCCGCTCAAGACGTAAGCTCTAGGATTCTTCTTTGTGACGGCACGTCTGATATTCTTGGCAAAGACGTGCGCAGGCGTGTTCCTACCGATCTGAGAGTACATTGCTCTGTACTGGATCATATCCTCCACATTCTTGTAAGGAGAAGAGTCTGCCACAGAGATTCCTTTCGCGCCCGCATCTCCAATGCTTGACTGGATGGCTCCTGGCGCTACCACGATCACTTTGATGCCGAATCCTGCGAGTTCGCTTCGAAGGCAGTCGGACAAGGCATGTACGGCTGCTTTGGACGAGGCGTAGGCTGCGCCAAAGGGCAACGGGGATAGGCTGCGAGACGAGAGCAGTAAGCTTCATGTCTTCGCTAAACTGAACTTCAAAGCTCTCCTCGACCTTGCCACGACGCTCACCCGGCAACGCTGCCCACATTGACCACGGTACCCGAGCGAGCCTTGATCATGTGCGGCGTGACGGCTTGAGTGACGCGAATAAGGCCAAAGTACTGTTCGAGACCAGAGTGGAGTTGGAGTGAATGTCAGCACTGACAAGCGCGACGAGAAAGCAACTCAGCGTGTTTCATCGCCATCAGCGTCAGCTCCATCGCGGCCTCGAGCAGGCTCGAGGTCAAATCGAACTCGAAACACCCGAGGCGGTGTAGCTGGGTGTGCGTGAGTGCGTGAGAAGCTGAGAGAAAGAGACTCACATTGGCATCAAACGTCTGCCTGTACCTCTCCAGCGATACTTCGACCGAAGCTCCCACGGCGGTATTTGTTCCAGCATTATTGATCAGCATATCGATTCTGCCCAGTTCCTTGATAATGTCGTGTATAGCCCTCTCCACGCTCGATTGGCTCGTCACGTCCAACTGAACCCTCCACACATTGCTGGGCAGGAACCTCAAGGATTCCAAGTTGCGCGCAGTCGCTACCACCCTGTGTGTTTCGGCGCTGGAAAACTCTTTCACCAAGGCTGCTCCTATACCGCTCGAACAGCCCGTGATCACGATCACTGGTCGCTCATCCTCTTGGAAGGGCGAAGGTGCGAAAGACATGGTGAGATGGGAAAAGAAGCAGATGCGTTCGCTGGACGGGAACCGAATGGATTTGGCGATGAGTGCAAATCGTGCAATCGTAAAAGTGGAACAGTGGGCAGGTATCCCTCCGCGCTGGTCCTTTATGCGAAGATGAAAGTTTGTAGAGAAGTGAGAGATCGTCACATGATTCGTGAGAGTCAAGAGTGTCGATGGATCCGTTTGCCGCGCCTGTCATCGCAATTGCTTGTCTGATACCTTTTGCAAACCTAACGCCGTCACGATTTCAAAGCTGTCAAACACTCAGCTCAAATGCTGGTGCACAACGCATTCACGATTCCGATGCTTGATTCACACTCGATACAAACTCTTGACTCGCGATTCCATTTTTCAAGAAGAGCTTGCATCTAACAATTGTTACGTGTCATCCGCGCGATCCTCGCTTACTACTACAGTGAAGTGTGAGTATATATGTAGCTGTGTGGAGCTATA